TATTTCGCTCGCCTAGACATGAGCAAAGTTTGGCTGAACATCCTACCCGGGCTGGTGACGCCTGGAAGAAGTGCGTCAGTGTCACGCGCGAGGCTCAGATCCCCTGGGAAGGGCCAAAGGGCCCATCAGCTCCCTCGCGGTTGTTCTCCTGCAGAACCAATGGGACCCACAGCTACCATGGCAGTGGAAAGCACCCCGCGGTGAAGAGTTCGACCTTCTTCCTCAAGAGGCCCCATGAACGAGCCCAAGTCTATTTGGAAGCTGTCTCGGGGTCCGATCCTGGGTGGCAGAAATGCGCAGTAGCGGAGTTCGACGGGCCCCTGGAGCAGCAAATCTGGAAAGACAATGCGCCCCAACACCTCTACGGGAAAGACTTAGAGTTTGGCGCAGACCTGTCAGTTCCCCTATGGAAGCCGAGGAAGCTCAGGCGCCAGCACACGCATGGCCACGCGGCCACGTTAGAAACGCATCGCCACAGGAGCTCTGTGGCCAGGGACGAGGAGGCATGAACATGAACCCGCCAGGTAGGGATGTCCCAGGTGCCAAGCTGCTCACGTCCGCCCGCCGCCAGCAGAAGACCTGTTCCACCAGCGGAGGACGTGCGCGCGCCTGCAGCCGTCGGAGGGGTCGGCCTTCGACCTCCTTCCCCGGCTCCATGGAGAGCACGAGGACTTGCCATATTTCTGGCACCGAGGATTAGCCCCCGTCATGTGAATCAACCCCCATGTCGACAAACTGCCAGAGTGGGAGTTTCGGGCAGAAGGGGTCATTCAGGAGAGCGCACGTGTTGAACTTCCCCCTGGGACACATGTAGGAGATGACGGCAGCGGAGGCGATTCCTCAAGTGATGTGAGGCTTCGTCGGTGCGGATGGGGCTTTGCAGTGTGCTACAACGGGGGTATACAAGAGACTGCTTGGGGACCGAAATTGGGGCGGCACCAGACGGTGCCTCTAACCGAGCTCGGGGCCTCATCCAGGCCTTCCTCGGGGTCCGCCACGTTCGTCGTGGACTGTGGTTATGTTTTGAAAGCGATCCCAGGTGGCCCAGGACATGTTCTACCCATCCACGCTGCTGCCTGGGCCCGTTGTGGCACGAGTTTGAACAATGGCCCGGGGAGGCTACGTTTCAAACATTTAGTGCCACCTAACGGATTCCGATGTTGGCCACCAAGTTGGGGAAGGACAGTTCAGAGTCAACGAAGCGGCAGACAAGCGTCCTTAGCTAGCCTACCCCAGGACGTCTTGGCCGAGGTTTCGCGGGTCGACGATTTGGCCTCTCGTGTTTTTGACCACCTTCTTCGCGGTCGGCCTACAGGGGGCCAAGGCTAGAGATAAGAACGCAAACGCTCCAGGGGCTATGACCCCTGCTGATTTAGTAACCGCCAAGCGAGCCCGTCAAGATGAAAGGGTCGCTGCCAAAATGGATGCTCGCGAAGCTACCTCCCACTCGGTTTCAATACGCGGGAATGGTAGCTCTGTCTGCAAGAAGCGCCTAACGGCACCGAGGCGAATCCTGTCAGTTAATCATTGGTTGAGCTTTCCCGCTGTGGGCTTTCCCCATCAGACCCACGCGTCCCACAGAATTCGGTGCCTGCGCGGGCTTTGGTGGTGTGAACTGTGTGGCGGCTCGGGGCACCAGCGTTTTACTATGTTAGGGAAATTTTGCCAGTGCCCAACCGACGCTGGCAAAAGGGCGATAACCAAGCTATCCAAAGGGCTCCCCCCTCCCAACGGGAAGGCTTGGCCACATTAGCCAGGGCAAGGAGCCCCAGGACCAGACGAGTCCTCAATGATTTTCCAGGCTGGTCGTCATAAACCAGATTCTGGCTTAGCGCAAGCTGTTCGCAAGAGGAGGAGGAGGAGGAGAAGGAGCAGGAGAAGGTGTCCTTTCCAAGGGGGTGCTGCATTCGGGACAGGAACTCCGGCGAGGACGCCGGACTCGGTTCGGATCGTTCGGTTCTCGAACTTCTTAGATCGTGCTTGTTCCCAACTCACCTTGCTGCGTTGGGTCCTCGTTCTGAAGAGACAGCGCCTTGCGTCAGTCTTTCCTTCCTCATCCCCCTGCTCCGTCCTCCCATCCATGCCTCTGCCCCTTCGCATGTCCACTTCGGCACACCCCTCACACGCGTCGTGGCCCCATTCGGGGGCACCACCGACAATCCCAGTGGCAACGTCCACCTGCGCCACCCCCCTGCCGATTTCGGCACACTCCTCACACGTTTCGTGGTCCCGCAGGGAGCTCCACCGAAGGCCCCAGCGGCAGTGTCCACACGCAGCCCCCCGCCAATGTCTACACACCCCTCACCCGTTCCGCGGCCCCGTAGGGAGCTCCAATTAAGGTCCCGGTGGCACAGTCCGCATGCATCCCCCCCACCCATTTCGGCGCACGCCTCACAGGTTTCGTGGCCCTATAGGGAGCTCCACCGAAGGCCTCAGTGGCAGTATACACATGCGTCCACCCATCCCGTCTCGGCACAGCACTCGCACGCTTCGTGGCCCCATGTGGATCTCCACCGAAAACCCCCAGTGGCCGTGCCCGCATGCGCACCCCCCGTCCATGTCGGCACATCCCCCACACGCTTCGTGGCCCCATGTGAAGCTCCACCGAAGGCCGTAGTGGCAGTGTCCACATGCGACCCCCCCTGCCCATGTCGGTAAACTCTTTCAGACGCTTCGCGGCACCGAGCCCCATTTCCGTAGCCAGTTTGGCTCAAGCCGTCTCTGGACAGTTTTGCACGCCAGCCCCGCCACGCCCGCAGCGGACCCGCCGTCTCGCCCATGGACGCCTTCGCGGTCGCGGGGCGCGCCCTGCGCCACGCCGTTGCGCCTCCCGCCGCGGCGTCCTACTCGCCCGCAGCGGCGGCGTCGCTGGCCCCCGTCGAAACCCCCGCGCTGCCAAGCAACGCTTCAGTCGCCGTCGCGGTGGCCGCAGCTGGCACCGCCGTCCTGGCGGCGGGGCGCCGCAGGCGCAAGACGCAGAAGGAGAGGCGCCTCGCGCGCAAGACGGCGCCCGTCGCTCTCGCGGCGTCCGCCCGCCAGGTCGCGCCTCCTGCGGCGGCGGCCTTCTGCGGCAGCCGCGCGGCGGCCGCCAAAGAGGTGTGCACCAGCCTGCGGGCCAAGAAGTCCGTGGAGGACCTGGGCGAGGCGGACCTCAAGGGGAAGACGGTGCTGATCCGGTGCGACCTCAACGTGCCCCTGAACGCGGACCTGGAGATCACGGACGACACGCGCATCACGGCCTCGATCCCGACGATCGAGTACCTCTGCAGCAAGGGCGCCAAGGTGCTGGCGTGCTCCCACCTGGGCCGCCCCAAGGACGGGCCCGAGGAGAAGTTCTCGCTGAAGCCAGTGGCGAAGAAGATGGGGGAGCTGATGAAGAAGGACATCAAGTGCGCCCCAGACTGCAAGGCCACGGACGAGGTGAAGGGGATGGTGTCGGCCATGAGCGAGGGAGACGTTCTGATCTTGGAGAACACTCGGTTCTACAAGGGGGAGACCAAGAACGATCCTGAGCTGGCGGAGAGCATGGCCAGCCTGGCAGACCTGTTTGTGAACGACGCGTTCGGTACCGCGCACCGCGCGCACTCCTCCACCGAGGGCGTGACCAAGTTCCTGAAGCCGAGCGTCTCGGGCTTCCTGCTGAAGAAGGAGCTGGACTACTTGAAGGGCGCCGTGGACAGCCCGGTGAAGCCAATGGCGGCCATCGTGGGAGGCGCCAAGGTGAGCACGAAGATCCCAGTGATCGAGTCCATGCTGGAGAAGGTGGACAAGGTGATCATCGGCGGAGGCATGGTGTTCACCTTCCTGAAGGCACGCGGCCTCTCGGTCGGGAACTCCCTGGTGGAGGACGACCTCATCCCAGTTGTGAAAAAGCTGGAGGAGCAGGCCAAGGCCAAGGGCGTCGAGATCATCCTCCCGAGCGACATAGCTTGCGGCGATGAGTTCCCCGCGGGGGGCAAAGAGGTGAACTACAAGGTGGTGCCCGCGGATGATATCCCGACGGCTGGCTCGGCCTGGACAACGGCCCGAAGGCGACCGAGGAGATCAAGGCTGCTCTGGCGGATTGCAAGACGATCATCTGGAACGGCCCGATGGGCGTGTTCGAGAGCCCGCAGTTCAGCAAGGGCACCTACGACGTGGCGGAGTGCATCGCCGAGCTGACGGAGAAGAACGGCGCCATCAGCATCATTGGTGGCGGTGACTCCGTGTCCGCGGTGAACAAGTCCGGCCTGGCGCCGAAGATGTCGCACATCTCCACTGGGGGCGGTGCCAGCCTGGAGCTGCTGGAGGGCAAGGTGCTGCCAGGTGTGGCTGCGCTGGACGAGAAGGAGATGGCTGCCGCGGCGTTCTGCGGACAGCGCAAGGTCCCCAAGGCTTCCAGGACCAGCCTGCGGGCCAAGAAGTCCGTGGAGGACCTGGGCGAAGCGGACCTCAAGGGGAAGACGGTGCTGATCCGGTGCGACCTCAACGTGCCTCTGAACGCGGACCTGGAGATCACGGACGACACGCGCATCACGGCCTCGATCCCTACGATCGAGTACCTCTGCAGCAAGGGCGCCAAGGTGCTGGCGTGCTCCCACCTGGGCCGCCCCAAGGACGGGCCCGAGGAGAAGTTCTCGCTGAAGCCAGTGGCGAAGAAGATGGGGGAGCTGATGAAGAAGGACATCAAGTGCGCCCCGGACTGCAAGGCCACGGACGAGGTGAAGGCGATGGTGTCGGGCATGAGCGAGGGAGACGTGCTGATCCTGGAGAACACTCGGTTCTACAAGGGAGAGACCAAGAACGATCCTGAGCTGGCGGAGAGCATGGCCAGCCTGGCAGACCTGTTTGTGAACGACGCGTTCGGTACCGCGCACCGCGCGCACTCCTCCACCGAGGGCGTGACCAAGTTCCTGAAGCCGAGCGTCTCGGGATTCCTGCTGAAGAAGGAGCTGGACTACTTGAAGGGCGCCGTGGACAGCCCGGTGAAGCCAATGGCGGCCATCGTGGGAGGCGCCAAGGTGAGCACGAAGATCCCGGTGATCGAGTCCATGCTGGAGAAGGTGGACAAGGTGATCATCGGCGGAGGCATGGTGTTCACCTTCCTGAAGGCACGCGGCCTCTCGGTCGGGAACTCCCTGGTGGAGGACGACCTCATCCCAGTTGTGAAGAAGCTGGAGGAGCAGGCCAAGGCCAAGGGCGTCGAGATCATCCTCCCGAGCGACATAGCTTGCGGCGATGAGTTCCCCGCGGGGGGCAAAGAGGTGAACTACAAGGTGGTGCCCGCGGATGATATCCCGGACGGCTGGCTCGGCCTGGACAACGGCCCGAAGGCGACCGAGGAGATCAAGGCTGCTCTGGCGGATTGCAAGACGATCATCTGGAACGGCCCGATGGGCGTGTTCGAGAGCCCGCAGTTCAGCAAGGGCACCTACGACGTGGCGGAGTGCATCGCCGAGCTGACGGAGAAGAACGGCGCCATCAGCATCATTGGTGGCGGTGACTCCGTGTCCGCGGTGAACAAGTCCGGCCTGGCGCCGAAGATGTCGCACATCTCCACTGGGGGCGGTGCCAGCCTGGAGCTGCTGGAGGGCAAGGTGCTGCCAGGTGTGGCTGCGCTGGACGAGAAGGAGATGGCCGCCGCTGCGTTTTGCGGACAGCGCAAGGTCCCCAAGGCTTCCAGGACCAGCCTGCGGGCCAAGAAGTCCGTGGAGGACCTGGGCGAGGCGGACCTCAAGGGGAAGACGGTGCTGATCCGGTGCGACCTCAACGTGCCCTGAACGCGGACCTGGAGATCACGGACGACACGCGCATCACGGCCTCGATCCCGACGATCGAGTACCTCTGCAGCAAGGGCGCCAAGGTGCTGGCGTGCTCCCACCTGGGCCGCCCCAAGGACGGGCCCGAGGAGAAGTTCTCGCTGAAGCCAGTGGCGAAGAAGATGGGGGAGCTGATGAAGAAAGACATCAAGTGCGCCCCGGACTGCAAGGCCACGGACGAGGTGAAGGCGATGGTGTCGGGCATGAGCGAGGGAGACGTTCTGATCCTGGAGAACACTCGGTTCTACAAGGGAGAGACCAAGAACGATCCTGAGCTGGCGGAGAGCATGGCCAGCCTGGCCGACCTGTTTGTGAACGACGCGTTCGGCACCGCGCACCGCGCGCACTCTTCCACCGAGGGCGTGACCAAATTCCTGAAGCCGAGCGTCTCGGGCTTCCTGCTGAAGAAGGAGCTGGACTACTTGAAGGGCGCCGTGGACAGCCCGGTGAAGCCGATGGCGGCCATCGTGGGCGGCGCCAAGGTGAGCACGAAGATCCCAGTGATCGAGTCCATGCTGGAGAAGGTGGACAAGGTGATCATCGGCGGAGGCATGGTGTTCACCTTCCTGAAGGCACGTGGTCTCTCGGTCGGGAACTCCCTGGTGGAGGACGACCTCATCCCAGTGGTGAAGAAGCTGGAGGAGCAGGCCAAGGCCAAGGGCGTCGAGATCATCCTCCCGAGCGACATAGCTTGCGGCGACGAGTTCCCCGCGGGGGGCAAAGAGGTGAACTACAAGGTGGTGCCCGCGGATGATATCCCGGACGGCTGGCTCGGCCTGGACAACGGCCCGAAGGCGACTGAGGAGATCAAGGCTGCTCTGGCGGATTGCAAGACGATTATCTGGAACGGCCCGATGGGCGTGTTCGAGAGCCCGCAGTTCAGCAAGGGCACCTATGACGTGGCGGAGTGCATCGCCGAGCTGACGGAGAAGAACGGCGCCATCAGCATCATTGGTGGCGGTGACTCCGTGTCCGCGGTGAACAAGTCCGGCCTGGCGCCGAAGATGTCGCACATCTCCACCGGGGGCGGTGCCAGCCTGGAGCTGCTGGAAGGCAAGGTGCTGCCAGGTGTGGCTGCGCTGGACGAGAAGGAGATGGCCGCCGCTGCGTTCTGCGGACTGCGCAAGGTCCCCAAGGCTTCCAGGACCAGCCTGCGGGCCAAGAAGTCCGTGGAGGACCTGGGCGAGGCGGACCTCAAGGGGAAGACGGTGCTGATCCGGTGTGACCTCAACGTGCCCCTGAACGCGGACCTGGAGATCACGGACGACACGCGCATCACGGCCTCGATCCCGACGATCGAGTACCTCTGCAGCAAGGGCGCCAAAGTGCTGGCGTGCTCCCACCTTGGCCGTCCCAAGGACGGGCCCGAGGAGAAGTTCTCGCTGAAGCCAGTGGCGAAGAAGATGGGGGAGCTGATGAAGAAGGACATCAAGTGCGCCCCGGACTGCAAGGCTACGGACGAGGTGAAGGCGATGGTGTCGGGCATGAGCGAGGGAGACGTTCTGATCCTGGAGAACACTCGGTTCTACAAGGGAGAGACCAAGAACGATCCTGAGCTGGCGGAGAGCATGGCCAGCCTGGCCGACCTGTTTGTGAACGACGCGTTCGGCACCGCGCACCGCGCGCACTCCTCCACCGAGGGCGTGACCAAGTTCCTGAAGCCGAGCGTCTCGGGCTTCCTGCTGAAGAAGGAGCTGGACTACTTGAAGGGCGCCGTAGACAGCCCAGTGAAGCCGATGGCGGCCATCGTGGGCGGCGCCAAGGTGAGCACGAAGATCCCGGTGATCGAGTCCATGCTGGAGAAGGTGGACAAGGTGATCATTGGCGGAGGCATGGTGTTCACCTTCCTGAAGGCACGTGGTCTCTCGGTCGGGAACTCCCTGGTGGAGGACGACCTCATCCCAGTTGTGAAGAAGCTTGAGGAGCAGGCCAAGGCCAAGGGCGTCGAGATCATCCTCCCGAGCGACATAGCCTGCGGCGACGAGTTCCCCGCGGGGGGCAAAGAGGTGAACTACAAGGTGGTGCCCGCGGATGCGATCCCGGACGGCTGGCTCGGCCTGGACAACGGCCCGAAGGCGACCAAGGAGATCAAGGCTGCTCTGGCGGATTGCAAGACGATTATCTGGAACGGCCCGATGGGTGTGTTCGAGAGCCCGCAGTTCAGCAAGGGCACCTACGACGTGGCGGAGTGCATCGCCGAGCTGACGGAGAAGAACGGCGCCATCAGCATCATTGGTGGCGGTGACTCCGTGTCCGCGGTGAACAAGTCCGGCCTGGCGCCGAAGATGTCGCACATCTCCACTGGGGGCGGTGCCAGCCTGGAGCTGCTGGAAGGCAAGGTGCTGCCAGGTGTGGCTGCGCTGGACGAGAAGGAGATGGCCGCCGCTGCGTTCTGCGGACAGCGTAAGGTCCCCAAGGCTTCCAGGACCAGCCTGCGGGCCAAGAAGTCCGTGGAGGACCTGGGCGAGGCGGACCTCAAGGGGAAGACGGTGCTGATCCGGTGCGACCTCAACGTGCCTCTGAACGCGGACCTGGAGATCACGGACGACACGCGCATCACGGCCTCGATCCCGACGATCGAGTACCTCTGCAGCAAGGGCGCCAAGGTGCTGGCGTGCTCCCACCTGGGGCGCCCCAAGGACGGGCCCGAGGAGAAGTTCTCGCTGAAGCCAGTTGCGAAGAAGATGGGAGAGCTGATGAAGAAGGACATCAAGTGCGCCCCAGACTGCAAGGCCACGGACGAGGTGAAGGCGATGGTGTCGGGCATGAGCGAGGGAGACGTTCTGATCCTGGAGAACACTCGTTTCTACAAGGGGGAGACCAAGAACGACCCCGAGCTGGCGGAGAGCATGGCCAGCCTGGCGGACCTGTTCGTGAACGACGCGTTCGGCACCGCGCACCGCGCGCACTCCTCCACCGAGGGCGTGACCAAGTTCCTGAAGCCGAGCGTCTCGGGCTTCCTGCTGAAAAAGGAGCTGGACTACTTGAAGGGCGCCGTGGACAGCCCGGTGAAACCGATGGCGGCCATCGTGGGCGGCGCCAAGGTGAGCACGAAGATCCCGGTGATCGAGTCTATGCTGGAGAAGGTGGACAAGGTGATCATCGGCGGAGGCATGGTGTTCACCTTCCTGAAGGCACGCGGCCTCTCGGTCGGAAACTCCTTGGTGGAGGACGACCTCATCCCAGTTGTGAAGAAGCTGGAGGAGCAGGCCAAGGCCAGGGGCGTCGAGATCATCCTCCCGAGCGACATAGCATGCGGCGACGAGTTCCCCGCGGGGGGCAAAGAGGTGAACTACAAGGTGGTGCCCGCGGATGCGATCCCGGACGGCTGGCTCGGCCTGGACAACGGCCCGAAGGCGAACGAGGAGATCAAGGCTGCTCTGGCGGATTGCAAGACGATCATCTGGAACGGCCCGATGGGCGTGTTCGAGAGCCCGCAGTTCAGCAAGGGCACCTACGACGTGGCGGAGTGCATCGCCGAGCTGACGGAGAAGAACGGCGCCATCAGCATCATTGGTGGCGGTGACTCCGTGTCCGCGGTGAACAAGTCCGGCCTGGCACCGAAGATGTCGCACATCTCCACCGGGGGCGGCGCCAGCTTGGAGCTGCTGGAGGGCAAGGTGCTGCCAGGCGTCGCCGCCCTGGACAACGCATGAGGACGGGCCCTCCCGGGATCCTCCTCGCCGCATTGCGCCCGGCTGCCAGGGCATTTAATGGTGCAGCGTGTTGGCATACCAGGCCTCCACTCCGATGGCCATTCCTGCATGGCAGGGCATGTTTTTGTTCTTCCGGCTTGAGTTTTAATGCCGCTCTTTCGGCTTAGGTTTCACGGGCGCAGGGGCAAGCCAGCTTTTGCGGCCCGGACAGATGTTCGGAAGCCGTGCTGCCAAGGTGTATGTAGCAACTCCGACCGCAGCATTACCGTGTTACCCTGGAGCGTGTGCTCATGTTGGTGGCGACCTAGTCGGCTCAACAAAAAACACCTTCGGGGCACCAAGCTCCTCCGGAGGTCCCTCTGGCAGTGTCGACATGCGGCCCCTCCTCCGCCAATGTCGGCACACTCCCCACCTGTTCCGTGGCCCCGCAGGGAGCTCCAGCTGAGGTCCGAGCGGCACAGTCCGCATGCATCCCTCGGGGGTCCCCAAACGGAGTGGTGACCACACCGTGCGGTGAGTCTGTGGGGGTTCGGGGTCACCGCACGGTTTTAGGACTCGGGTCGTTCTCCGAGGACGTCTCGGGCGACTGGGGCATCCGAGGTCCCAAAGCCGTGCGTTGACGGACCGTGCTGTGAGGTCTTGGGGGATTTCGAGGTCACCGCACGGTCTGCCGCCGCACCGCTTCGGGACTCCCAAATTCCCCCCGCCCTTTTCGGCGCACCCTTCAAACGTTTCTTGGCCCCATACGGAGCTCCACCGAAGATCCAGGTGACGCAGTCCACAAGCGTCCCGCCCGCCGATTGCGGCACACTCCCCACACGCTTCGTGGTCCCATAGGGAGCTCCACAGAAGGTCCCGCTAGCACAGTCGGCACGCGCCCTCCCCGACCATTTCGACCATTTCGGCACACCCCTCACACGTTTCGTAGCCCCGTAGGGAGCTCCACCTAAGGCCCCAGTAGCTGCCTGTTCGGCCCCAAACGATCCGCGCGTGTCGCTGGAATTCCCTCGCGGCGACCAGCGCGCGTCGCGGGGACTCCTCTGCGCTCCGCCTCCTTGAGGGCGACGGGCTTGCATGTTGCTTGCGGGCGCCTGGAAGAAGGGGCTCCCCGAGAGCCCGATCGCTCGTCGCCCCATGCCCCCCGTGTTCCCCCGTTCGCCGTCACCCTCGTCCTACTCCGCGCCCCAGCCCTTCTGCTGCGCCCCCCCCATCCCTCTTCCCAGCTGCCTCGCGACAGTCGCAGCTGCACACAGTTGGGTCCGCCGCACGAGGCGTGATGTCCTAAGAGAGGCGCGCGCTGGTACACGGCAGCGCGCCGTTTGCCGGCGGAGCGGGCGCAGGCTCCGGGCGGCTGGCCCGCCCCTGAAGCAACGCGCGCATCGCCCGCACGCTTCTCAGACGCGGAGCGGCGTGATCAGTTGCTGAGCTCGACCACAAGTGACCTTCCACGAGAAGCCAAACCCTGAGGCCCCGGGACGTTCATTGGTTTCTGGTGTGGGAGCGCCACGCTCTCCATCGCAAAGCCATCGAAGCCCAGGAAACCCAGGGCACCCTGGAGGCAAGCAGGGTGTTTCTTGGCATGGGTCTCCACCGTACAATTCCTGCGGGTGCGGCGGCCCCGTCCGCCGCCCAGCCCTGGGAGCATGCGAGAACTCGCCTATTCGAGGTTAAGGCCTGGCCAGCGTGCGGACCTGGCCAGGCCAGCCTGCAGTTCACGGGGCGAGGTCCACGCGGATTTCTCGGATCCGCGCTGGACCCTCCCAGCGGCGCCTCCGGCGCCGCCCCTGGCGCGCTCGGTCCGAGGAATCCGCGCGGACCTCCGAGTGATTATGTTTGTGTCATGTTCCGTTCCCCCAGCATATCGCCAGACGCAAGGGGGGCACTTCTGCCCCAGACCTTGACGTAAAATGGTCCCCGTCCTGCTCTTCCGTCTCTTCCAACAGTGTGGCGAGCATACCGGGGGCGCGGGGAAGCGCGGGGTCGGCGGAGTCGATTCATGTCGCTCAGATGTCTCATCGTCGCGTTTTGATGGGTTCCGTTTGCACGCAAGCGCCTTGTTCTTGATGGGTTCCGTTTGCACGCAAGCGCCCTCTTCCAGCACCCCGCGCCCGGTCACCGTTTTCATGTGATTGTTGCAATCCGTTCCCGTCCAGGGGTTTGCGTTGACCAGTGTTCCTGGCCATCGTCCTTGGGCCATTCCCCTGGCCTTGATTGGAATGATACCTCTCGTATTTCCATCTCTTACGGCAGTACGGCCAGCAAGCCGAAGGGGAAGGGGGAGGGGGAGGCGGGGGCCTGATGGTGGACGAGGGATGAACGGAGGGAGGGGGAAGAAGAAGAGGAGGAGGAGGAGGAGAAGGAGGAGGAGGAGGAGGAGGAGGAGGAAGAGGAGGAGGAGGAGGGGGGGGGCGAGGGAGAGCAAGAGCAGGGGAGGGAGAGGTGGAACAGGAGGTCCCTTCTTCTCTCTCTCTCTCTCTCTCTCTCGTTTTCTGTCTGTATC